AATAATAATTAAATTTTTTTTATCGAATAAAAGTAGACAACCACAAAAACCATCCTTCCTAATAAAATTAAATAAACAGGAGTTGCAACTTTTCAAACTATTTTTTTTTATGTTGATTATACAATGAAAGATAATTTTTTTTCATTTCTTATATCATCATGTTCAAATACCATAATTTAAAATCCTTTGCTTTCCAAAAAAAAAAAAAAATTACCACTAAATCCCTTAGAGGGTTGGCTCAAACCAATCTACTTTATTAAACTATTGACGGTTAAATTCAATAAATAGTCTATTAATTATGTGATTTATTTTAATTTAGTTTAGAAATATTTTTTTTTTTCAAAATGATCTATAAACTATAAGTTTTATTTCAAAATGATTTACTTAATAAACATTCCGTTAACTAATTAGCGAGGAAGTCTTTTTAGTTATTGACAAGTTGCCTCTAAACTTTTGAAAAATATTAAATTTAGTATAAATTTTTTTGCTTTTTTGTAATATTTTATTTTTTAAGTTTAAATTCTATGCCAAAGGTAATATTTAATTAAGATAATAATTTTAATTTACATTGATCAAAATTCTAATTTTAATATACAACAATCAATATTATAATTTAAATTTTATTATTTTTTAAAAAACTTAATATCATTTTTAAATTACATATTTGTTCACTACTTTGTATAAAAGAATAAAAAAATTTATTTTAATTTTTAATACTAATAATACATGTATGATTTTAATTTGGAGATTTATAAAATTAAAATGAATTTTTATTTTTTCAGGTAATTTCATCTTAGTTAATTATTATATTTGACAAAAAAATTAAATTTAAAAAATAAAATGTTATAAAAAATAAAAATATATGTACTATATTTAACATTTTTCAAAATTTAATGGGCAACTTGTCAACCACTATAAAAAATTCCGTTAGTCAGTGTATTGTTCGTCAAATAAATCATTTTAAAATATTTATAGGTTAAATTAAAATAAATAAACTATTTATTAAATTTAACCGACCATTAACCAAAATACACAGCTCAGACAATCCCAGCGTGATCCGTGCGGGATATTTATCATCTCGCTATGATTCGGGCATGGATTTGAAAATTGAAATCCGACTCAGCAACATCATCTAACCTTCTCTATAAATACGTTTTCTCCTCCTCCCTCCCAATCCCCCTGTCGTCTGACTCACTGAATCAATTTTCTCCAATTCCTCTCCATTTCTCCGCTGCTGCGCGTTTACCTTAAAGCTCGATTTCCTCCTCCTTCGATCTTGATCCGCCATGGAATTCTGCATCAATTCTGCTCGCGACTCTGTTTCTTCCTTCAACTGCATCCTCTTCGGTACACCTCTCCTTCCTTTTTTTTTTTTTTTTTCCCTCTCTAATTCTACAAAATTCACTCTCCAACTCTCCAATCTCTGATTATTTCTTTCAAAATTTCTTAAAACAGATTTGGATGATACGTTGTATCCTTCCAGTACCGGAATAGCCCAAGCTGTCAAGAAAAACATCGACGGTGAGTTTCCGTTCTAAAATCCGATGAATTCCGACCTTCTTCCGAGAGATTTTCAGTTTCCGATTGTCCAGTATTCTAACTTCTTTCGCAGATTTTCTCGTCGAGAAATGTGGATTCCCCGAAGACAAAGCTTCGAGTCTCAGAGTCGAGCTCTTCAAAACCTACGGCAGTACTCTCGCCGGTTTAAGAGTAATTATCTCATGAAATATACTTCTGGAACTCGAAATTGAAGAAAATCAAACTCGATTTCCTAATTAATTTGCTTTTCCTGTTGCAGGCATTAGGCTACGAAACTGATGCCGATGATTATCACGCGTAAGCATTTTAATTAAAAATTTTGAAATTAATGTCTTCGTGCCAAACTTTCTTGACTTTTTGTAGAAATAATCAACTCAAAATTTTCCTCTATGATTCAGTTTCGTACACGGAAGATTGCCGTACGATGTGATCCAACAAGACCATCCGCTACGCAATCTATTGCGAAGCATCACACAGAGAAAAATCGTAAGCCAAACAGCGATGAAATTTATATGTTGTTTGTATAATTTACTGATTTTCCTGTTCTGGAAAGAATTTGAGTGATTTTTTTTCTTTTTCTTCCTCAGATTTTTACAAATTCAGATCGGATTCATGCCGTAAAGGTTCTGAAAAGGTTGGGATTAGAAGACTGCTTTGATCAAATCATTTGCTTCGAAACGTTGAATCCCAATCTGCCGAAGTCATCGCGTCCCGATGAATTCCCTGTTGTCTTGAAGCCGTCACCGGAGGCCATGAAAATTGCTCTTGAAGTTGCCGACGTTGATCCTTGCCGCACGGTAAACGACAAAAAACATCTCTTGTCAATTTTGGTCGTCAGTCATCATCAGCGAATATTTTACGGCTTTTTTTTTTTTTTTTTTTTTTTT